GTCTCAATTGATATAATTTATTTACAACAATTAATAAATTTATCTTATTACTTTTCACGTAAGAAAGTATTCTTACAGTTTCTCATAAATAACATCATTATTGTTCAAATTATTTCAAAATAATATTACTTTTATATGGATACAAGAGCAAGAAAGAGTGTTTCAAGAACTGAAACAAAAACTCATTTCAGTATCAATTCTAATTTACTCTGACTTTACATAAAAATTTTACTTATATACTAATACTTCTGATTATGAACTTGGAGTAGTATTAGCTCAACGAGATGCTAATGAAAAAGAAAGAGTTGTTGCATATGCAAATATCATATTAAAACCAAGTGAAAAAAATTATAGCACAACTAAAAAAGAAGCTTTAGCTATTGTGTGAGCAGTTAGATAATTCAGATACTATCTTTTTGAAACTTTATTTAAAGTAATGACTAATCACAATACATTGAGATAGTTATTTCATAAATAATCAAATTCTGAATCAAGAATTGCAAGATGAATTATAAAAATTATGAAATACAATTTTACAGTTACATATTAATCTGGAAAGTCAATCAAAATACTGATATCTTATTATAACTTAATTAGAAGATAACCATAAAATTAGAATAATATTTAACACTAATTAATTATTTAGAAACTTTACAATATTCTGTAGGATATTTGAAAAAAAACAAAGATTACAACAACAATTCAAACACTTTTTAGTTATTAATGAACAATTATACAAGAAAAATCAAAAAAAAACCAACAAACCCTTTAAAAGTTTTGAGAATACATAAAACTGAAACAATACTCAAATACATACATGAAGACATATTAATTGAACATTTTGAATATGATATAACATATCAATGAATTACAACAAAGTATTAGTAAAATGAAATGAGTACTACTATTAAAGATTTTGTAAAATCTTGTCTTGTTTGTCAATTTATTGGAACAAGAACAACAAAAATATCATTACACCAAATTGGATAACCATTTAAAAGAATTATAATTGATTTAGTTGGATTCTGTTCAATCACAATACAAGAAAATTGATACATTATGATAGCAATAAATTATTTTACTCACTAATCTAAAGTTAGAGCAATATCAGACAAACAAGTAACAACAATTACAAAATTTATTTTTGAAGAGATAATTTGTTAATATAAATGTCCAAAAGAAATATAATCAAATAATAAAACAGAGTTTGTAAATAAAATTATCAGAGAATTAGTAAACCAATTCAACATTAAATGGAGGTTTTCTTCACTATATCATTCACAAACAAATGGAATTATTGAAAGATTTAATAGAACAGTGTGCTCAATACTTCAAAAATATTATATTGCTTTTGAAAATGAATGGAATCAATATATTATAACTGCTTTATTTGCTTATAGAACACTCAGAAACTCAACAACAAAACATGAATCTTTTTTTCTCACTTATGAAAGAGATACAGGATTTTCAATAGAAAAAATACAACCAGTTGAAAATTTGACTGAAACCAATATTATATTAAAATTCTTAGTGTAATTGATAAGTTAACTACAATACAAAATGAAGTCATGAATAATACACTTGGACCTGACCCAGTTGGAGCGCTAAATACAACCACATGTATATTATGGCTACATGATGTGAAAAAACTCCTTATCTATTCACCCAGTGAAAATCATGATCATCACAAAACCAACAAACAACCTATTGTGGATGAGGAATTTTGGGAATGGGTATTAAATGAATTAGTGAATGTGTTCTTGGCTAATATGTATATAAATTCGTATCTGGTGAAATGTTTTGCGATAAACTTTGGGAAGTAGGATCAGCGGAAACCAACAGTGTTGGCAATTTTTATGGGCATAAATCATTTTTCAAATGACTTTAATCATAAGTCATACATGCTCTTGATTTTAAGATCATTTCAAGGTCATTGGGTATTTGCATCTGCATATTAAGCTAAATGTAGTGATGAAAATGGAAAATGACTACGATGCCATGAAAGGTAAAGTGAATGATCCGACCGACTACGGTTCAAAAATGGGATGGAACTAGAAGCGGAACGACTAATGGCTTTGGATATCGTAAATATTCGGAATGGATTAAAAAACATAAAAAAATTTAAGATATATTCGAAGTATGATGTTGTGACGAACGACACAACATCATACTTCGTCATAATATCTGAAAGGCGAGGATGGTTATTATTAGCATGGTGGGCAAAAGGATGAAAAATTTAGAGAAGATGAGAAAGTTAAATGTAAGCAATTAGGTTTCTACCTTTACATGCATGTATTTGATAAAAAATAAACTAGATACTTTAATGTGTTTGTTCATCGATGTATTATTTTTCAGCACATGAGCATTGCTTATAAAAAATATTTATATTTAAAAAATATTTATATTTAAAAAAAATATTTATATTTAAAAAAATATTTCACGATACATAAGCATTTTGCATTCTTTGGATATACTTGTTTTTACAAGTTATTTAAGTTCGGTGGCTTCGTTCTAAACAAGATGTATATTGCAACTTCCATTGGGTCAAATCTACATAACACGTGATTTAAATTAAGACCAAATTCTTTTTGAATCGTCCCATTGTAATTTTCATGCAAGTCGAATATGATGCAATAACCCATAACAATAAATTGCTATTACTTCTTACCGTAAATGGCCATATAAAAGACCCTAGGTCTGTTACATTCCACGGTTTAGAAACTTGTATTATACCCGGGGATCTATTACACGAAATGCGAACATCCACCATATAAACATAATTTTTCTACTTTTAAAGAAACAGTATTCAACTTAATATAATAAACCTGGTTTTATTGAATTTTCTGTGTTAATAGCCGATATTTGCACCGGATACAATACAGGGGTCTACTATTAGAGGGTATCTTTTATATGGCCATTTACGGTAATTAGTAAGTTGATACAAAATTTAATCCACAAATAAGATCTAACGCATCGTGGATTAAATTTTACTAATTAAGAAATTATAAAATGCAAGTTGTTGTTGTATCATATTAGACTTGCCCCTTTTCTATTGAACAGCGTCCATATATATTTGCTCTAATCGAAATATAAGAAAGAATGCAATATAATAATTGGTCTTGATACACTGAATGATAAAAACCCTGAATTTGATTGAACAGGTTGGGGACCGATGCGGCTGAACTATCCGGGAAGGACCAACCTTTAACGTACAAGGATCGTTTACAGGACAAACGGGCCGATTTTAGAACTGAACCCAATCCCAGGGATTGGCGTTTTGAGACCGGAGGACCCAAGACATGGGGTACATTAATAAAGTACTAACCACAATCTAGGTAGGCAGATATGTCATAAATTGGAAAGTTGGAACGAACTCAGATTTAGTTAGGTTGATTTTAAAATCAGCTTAAGTCAACACGATTTAAATCAACCTAGAACATATCTCAAAAAACGAAATATAATAGTGGTAAGGTTTACTAATGTGTGTGACTGTTATAGAAGCTTCAAATTAATATATAAAAGAATTTTCGCATATTTTTTAATAAGGGCTGTGAAATCATTGGGAGTAGTGGTGCCAACTCTTCGAGAGTGGCTTTACTTAACGTTAAGTGAGAGTTTGAAACCTGAATTTATTCATTATTATTTTTTCGTGTAAATTGAAAGTTTTGTTTGAAATTGAACTTGACTAATTTGCTGTGAAGAGAGTAATTTATTTTTACATAAAAGAAATAATTTAACGTGCACATGGACTATGCCACTTGATGAAATCTAAAAATATTGCAAGTTGGTATTAAAAAATTTAAATATATTCTATGTAAAAAGTATATATTTTTTGAAAATATTTTCGTTTCATTTTTCGTTTTGATCCATACATTTAATCGTTTCTTTTTTAAACGTTAATTAATAGATTTTTTTCTTGATTGCGTTTTTATAGATTTTGAATTTTTTTATTTTAGTTAGAGAAATAAAAATCGATATGAAAATAATTAAATGACTAAAGATAAATTTTTGAATTGAATAAAAAACTAAAAATACCCCACAACACGAAAGAGCAAGCGACACTACCAAACATATTATCATCAATAAGAGATAATGCTGCTGTACTCGCCATACTCTGTCCTTTATGATTTTGTTCTTCCTTACTATTATTATTATTATTATTATTATTTCCGTTCACCATCCCACCATTTTTCTGGTCTCCATTATTATTAGAGCCACCACCAGAACCATTCGCCAATGCATCAGCAATAGTGTTATTGTCTTCCTGCTGAGAAGGCGGTGGAATCGGTACTATCGTGAATGGCCCAACATAATCCCAGATCGTTTTTATTGATGATGATTTTTTAGACAGGAATCCGAGTTCAATATCAACGAAAAACAAGGACGAGTTTCTAATGTTTGGCGAGAGTATTATTTGTATTGGGTATTTGAATGATGTGATTTTTGTGCTTGTGTTGTGATAGAGTGTCTTAGTTTTTATTTTTTTTGATAGAGAAAAAAGAATATTTATTTTATCGATTAATCGTTGTTATGTACATGTATAAATTTTACAAGATATTACTCACAGTGCGATAATTCCATTGCCAATTCGTATCATTATCCATGTCCAAACTATTATTATTGGTATTTAAATTATTTTCCGATGTATTCGGAGTCTTTTTAGTGATAGTCAAATTAGCAAACAGAAAAGCATCGACTTTATGTAAAGGCACTTCGGCTATATTATTAACATTCACTCGACACTCCTTGCCAATAAGCTCCCACTGAACAAGCATTTCATCACCGGGTGCGTATCTGTCTCCACGTTTAGGACTTTTCACGTGTACGCGGCATCCTTCTTCATTTTCGTTCATTTGTTGTTCTTGTTTTGTGAGTTGTTGGTCTTGAGACTGAACCAGTGGTAAGTGTTGGGAAGGAATTGCGAGTGCTGGTGATGACGGAGACTGACAATTGACGTAAAGAAATACCGTGAAATAATAGTAATTAGCGAAACATAATAATATTGTTAGAGTTAATAATAAATTTGATGCTGAATAACGTTTCGGCATTTTAAGTAGAAAATATTTAGGTTTTTATATTTGGTGTATATTTATATTTGGGAAACTTCATTGGTAGATTAACTTTCACCCACATTCTCATAAAAAAAATATCAAAGATTTGATCCCTTTATACTACCTTTCGTTCAGATAAATCTATCAATCAACGATATTTTGATGGATAAAATAATGATGATGGATATTTCCGCTTAGCAAAGCAAATGCGCTTTTCGATCAATCAAGATATTTCTTATTTATAAAAATAACCAGTCAAACAGCCTTTACAAATTAGTTAAATTCAAATTTGCAAAACGAATAATATTTAAAAATAATAATGAATCTATTAACCTCCCGAATCTCAAGCTATTTGCTCGTTTCTCTTCTATTTGTTAATGCGTTGGTTCTCCAATTATGTGATGCTAAAAGTGAAAAATTTACTACAACTACGGTAACAACCACCCTGTTGTCTACTACCACCACCACTGCCATATCAACACTAATACCTATGCCAACAAAAACCGGATTGCCCATCCCTACAGAAACGGACACAACTACTACCACCAGCAGACACACCCAGACAAGATTCCCATGGTCAACTACCGCCGCAGCCTTAGTTCCTAACAATTTTCAAGAGCTCCCTGGAAATCCTGATCCGTCAGAAATTCACCTAATCACTGCTGCGACTAAGTATCATCCTGCTTCTAAACCAACCAGTGTCTCTCAAAATAGTGCTATAAGAGAAGGTGGTGTTAGATATGGGGATAAAGTAGCAGTTCTTCTGGCGGCTGTTCTTGCTGCTGTTGTTTTATTTTAGTTTCATGTGATGATGCAAGTTTCAATTTAGATCTGATATCTATTGTTGAGGTTTAATCTCTCGCTTATTTTTAGCCGTGTAATTTTATCTTTCCTATTATAAATTATTGTTAAATAATATCAACCGAATTTCTAGAAACATTGCATATTTCATTACAGTCCACCTCCCGTTAATATGACACCGGTTATTATGACATTCGCATTAATATGACAAACTATAAAGCTCGATATAACGATATGATAGTAAAATAAAATAAAATATCGTTACGTGTCGGTGGGTATTCGGTCCACTATGTAGATCAAATTTATGTATAGTTTATGAAAAATGATTAGACCAAATTTTCGTGTAACATATACGATGATCGATATATATACGTACATGTATATTAATTTTTCAGTTTATTAAAATATAGCGATAGTATTTGCTAAATATCTGAGCGAAATTTCTAAACAAGTTAATGTAAATTATTGAGGAGATACAATTTGAAATATGTCAATTTTTCATAGTCATTTTATATAAAATTACCATATTTCAAATTGTATCTCCTCGATAATTTACATATTACGTAACTTGTTTAGAAATTTCGTTCAGATATTTAGCAAATACTATATTTTATCGATATCGATATAATGATCATCGTATATGTTACACGAAAATTTGTCTAATCATTTTTCATATGAGACTATACATAAATTTGATCTACATAGTCAACATATCGGTATTATAAAAATCATTATACGAAGGGAAATTTTATCAAGTTTTAGGTTGTCATATCGAGATTTTAATTAGTCATCATATAGTTTAATTAGTTCTAGTTCATGAACAAAATTCTCTGTCCCGATAACAACGGTAAGTCCAAGCGTTCATTAAAAAGAAAATTAAGTTGCACAGAACCAAATATCGAACTGATTTATCACTTTACTATGTCCAGTAACCAGAAGTTACTGGACTAGACCATATTGGCGCAGTATTGGAATATGTCCACTACATAATTAAAAAAATCAACCGCCAATCAACAAAGATTCACGGTACACATTGATCGAGTCATCGATTACTTTCTCCATTTTTGATCTGTTTCTGGTTTCTGACCAGAGAACCATAAAACCAAAAGAAAAATGATATTAAGAAACACACTATCAAAGAATTTTATACAATTTCTATTTATCTTCTCCACAATAATACTACTAATACGACCACCACTACTATTCACCCACGCCTCTAAAACAATAATAGACAGACTCTCGGAACATGAGAAGTTTAAACATCTCCTTCGCGCACTACAACACACCCGTCTCGTACGCGAAATCAACCGTTATCCAGTGGCAACGTTATTCGCGCCCACAAACGCAGCAATTGGAGAGGCCTGGTGGACAATTACACGTGAACAGTTACTTTATCATTTCTTAGAAGCGGATATGAAGCTTGATGAGTTGAAAGAAGGGAAGTTGTTGCTTACGAAGTTGAAGTTGTATGGGAGACTTGGTGACGGTGGTGATGAGCCGGGTCAACGGGTGAAAATTGTTGAAAGGAAGATGACTTTCCCAGGGCTGCCAGATACTATTCGTATTGGGGATGCGAAAATTATAGACAAGCAATTGGATGCGGATAATGGTATTTTTTTTTGATTTAATCTTTTTAAGACTTGCAAATTTGTTGATTAGAAAATCCATGTAATTACATAGGCATAATTCACACTGTAAATAAGATAATTAAAATACCTGTAGATATTAGTAAGTATCTCATTTTATATTATGTACATTTTGTACAGCATATTTAATTGGTTTATGATGTAGATGCTACACTTCACGAACTGGATGCCCGGTTATTCACGCAATACTTAGTAAAAAGAAATTTATCAAGTTACTTGGCCAAAAAAGCACATTTAACTGTATTCGTTCCGATCGACGAAGCATTCAGCCTCCGTTTTGAAAAACACGAGCGAAAATACTTAGATGGCAATTGTGGTGGAGGACCTGATGATCTCGAACTTGTACTGGGACATCATGTTCACGATGGATTGCTTTATACGGAGAATATGGATAGCTCACAAGGTTTTTTCTTTTTGTAATAAATTTGAGTCTGAGATTGTGAGATTGGACTAATTTTTTTTGGCTGTAAGAATACAAACATGAATGATAAGTTTTTCCGTGTGTATATGTAGCATCTACTATTCAGGGTGAACCGATAACCATAGTACGTGGAAATGGAACAATTAAGGTTGGAGATGGGTATATTATTGATCATAATAAGGATATTTTGGCGGATAACGGTATGATTGTTCCTCTGTATTTTTTTCGAGCTTAAATCGTGAATCTTATCCGCTTCATATTCGAATCCGTACTCGCAATATAGGTGTTATCCACTTCGTAAACCGCATCTCTGCTCCGCAGAAACTTCACTTTAACGCACTAAAGTTCTTGTGTGGTCTCGACGCGATAAATTTCGTAGGATGGATTATTAGAGCCGGATTAACCGGTTACGTTGAAGATCCCGAGACGCCATACACGATTTTAGCTCCGCATGATGACAATTATGATAACTTCGAATATATTGGCGGTGACAAGGAAAACTTCTTAAAATATCATTTTGTAGAAGGAAAAAAAACTATATCTGAATTCACAAACGGGCTGTTGCTTCCTAGTGAATTAAAAACTGCCGATCTAAAGGGACATCGTCAACAGATTAAAGTTAGTGTTAAATCGAAATCGAGAAGAAATGATTATGATGAAAATAGTTTGACGGCCACTGAAATCCGATTTAACGGTCATGCGATAATTGGTGAACCTGGTATTTACTATTGCTATATATGATTCGATTCTTCTTTATCATGACATTAGTTTTTGCCTCCGTGATCATCTTCTAAACAAAAAAGTTCATCTTTTTTTTGATACAATTCATGAATCAATATTATAGTGGAAATTGGCAATTCAATAATCTATATCCTCGAGAAAGCACTCATACAACCTCAAAACGTATTTTTAACTCTGAAACAGATGACGGACAAAAGATTCAATAAATTCCTAAAAGCGTATTCTTTCAGTGACACAAACGACACCATTTCTAACATATCCGGAACAACCATATTTGCGCCAATCGATGAAGCATTCAACAAATTAGGTCTTGTTTACAACTACTTTTTACATCCGACCGGTAAACAAGACCTGTTTTCCGTATTGAAGTATCATGTCCTTGATCAAGTTCTCTACTCGCAAGATATCCCCCAAGGAGAATTCTTGTTCAGGACGATCGAAGGTGAACCGCTCATCATCGAGCGTGATCGAGACGTGATTAAAGTCAAAGGCGTGAATTATTCGGCTGTTGTCACGGAAACTGATGTTTTGACACGGACGGGTGTAGTACATGTTGTCAATTCGGTTCGAATACCACCGAGTATAAAAATTACACCGTACAAAATTCTAAAAGGAATCGATGCGAATGCAATGTTGAATCTGTTTTATATCACAAACTTGACCTCGATCCTCAATGAAACAACAGAATCATTCACTATACTACTACCACCTGAAAAAGAATTTGCGAATTTTACCCAAGCAACAAGAGACCCCGAAAGATTATCACAGTTTCTTTCTTCACATATTATCCCAGGCTCAATTGATATTGATCCAAAAGAGAGAAAAAAGTTTCCCACGTTATTAGCCAGCAGCACAAAAATAGTAACAGGTTACGACCTTACCGGTCATCCTTTTGTCGAGCTACAAGGTGCTCTTAGTTACAAAGAACGCGCGAAAATTATTGCCGTTGGCAAGACATCGAATGGTGGCGGTGTTTATCAGATCGATAAGGTATTGGTTAGAAATCCGACACAGCATTTTACTCGGGCTGGGTTGGGCGTGTTGATTGGACTCGGGCTTATTGCGTTCTTTACAGGTGGTGGTGGCGTCGGATTATGGGGATGGCAGAAATGGAGGAGTTGGGGATATACGCCAATTCAGGATGGTAATGCAGATGCGATTGAACGTGGCAATGTGGCTCCTGTTGATAGTGAAGCAAGTACTGCAAATTGATCCGAATAATCAATTTATTTATTATCTTTTTTTACTATTTTATCCTAAACCTAATAATTTTTTGATTTATTGATTCATATTTATTAATCTAAATTTATATTTATATGATTTTATTTTATTTGATTTAATTTCTCGAACATTATCATGAATGAAATTCAGTGTGAGAGCCATTCATACAGATTATAGATTGCATTATAATATAGAAAGAGCTGGTTTTTTGAAAATACATAAACTTGTTCAATTAAAAATTTTTTAATACAACAAAAAAAATGTTTGGCTTTATTTATTTTTTAGAATAAATGTATTTGTAACAACTGTTATTTGTAACAATCGCATTTTAATTAGAGTCTGGGTTAGAGTTAGGGTTAAGATTCTGGTTATGTGAAGTTGTTACAACTATTTTTTTATGATTGAAAATTTGTGCAACATTATTATGATTTTATTTGAGGTAGTACAGATCGTCAAGAATTTGGGCAGGACATAATGCTCTCAAAAAATTAAACTTTTATATTGAACCTTTGCTTTTGTTCTGAAGGCTAAAAAGGCCAAAATTCATGATAGTTTGTCAACCTCTGATTTATCAACACACGGCATAAAAAAACCGCATCATCATCATTTTTGGTCTTACCTGTAAATATGACACCTCAACTTTTTTCTATTTTCAAAGAACAAAACTATAATAATCCTCACCAATTAACTCACCACAATTATTCATTCTGAACCAAACAAAGAATTATGAAACGGCCTTTCTCTTCTTTTTCTTTATATGAACAACATGATCAACAGCCTGGAGGAGGAGGTAGTTGTGGCAATTGTAAGGAATGCATAGAAAAAGAACAAGAAAGAGAAAGGATGAGGTACCATAATAATTATGACTATAGCCTGGAAAACGGAAACGGTGAAACAATGCAAGCTTCTTCCACTAAAGGAAAAGGAAGATTGGAATTCGTTAATAATTCTGGTAATAATGAGATTAAAGACCAGACAAGAAAGAATAATCCTACATCAACAACAACGAATTCTGTTTTCCGTAACCCTAACCACAATTTCTCAACACCTTATACCACATCCGCTGCCAATCCATTATTTACAAACACGAATCTAAAACGTAATCCGTCGTTTCAATACAATGATGATCCGATGCTAATATCGAATATCTCCAAAGAAGAGAAGCTTCCGTTTGAATTAGTATCAACGTCATCATCATCAATTTCTCCACACACACAATCTAATAATATGGGCATTTTGGCGGCGAGTATGATGAGCCATAGCACAGCGCGAACGAGGGCGATCACGACCACGACAACGACAACGAATCTGTTTTTTGAGGAAGAAGAGGATGAAAATGAAAACGAAAACGGTGGATGGGATCTAGGCGAAGATGGCGACGAGATTGATAAAGATGACCTTGATGTAGAAGAAGAGGACGAATTAGAAGAAGGAGAATTGAAAATGAATAATGAGGATTGTGACGAAGAAGATGTTGATCCATGGGATTTGGAGTGATGAGAAATTTAATTTTATAAATATATTTGTATCATGAATGATTTCGTTACTATTTGAATACTAATTAATATTTATTAGTTCTTTCTTTTGTCAGTTCTATTCATACCTTTTGTTTGAACCAATTATCTAGCAAGCTAATCTTGAGCTATAACAAAAAATCGTGAGACATGTTACAATTAGTATGTTTCAGGAATCTTTCAAAATTTAGTATTTCAAATAAGGATTTTTTTCTGTATATAGCATGGTATATATAGCACGTACATTTATATCACCATTTTTATTAATCTATGAAATGCTTCATTTATTTAGGAATAAATAAATTAAAATAAATAAATAGTTCTATTCTATATTTATATAAAAAAATGTTAGTTTTGATCGCTTCATTAAATAAATTTTTTATTGCTGTTCTTTCAACATCCAAATCCATGTAGAAATCATCAATGCCACCAACATTGTTAATAAATACAAATACGCCAATCAATTACTGATTCTCATCAAACACCTCATTATAAATATTCTTGACTTTTTGATAAACTATGTCCGGCAAATCCTCACAAGAGATCGAATGCACTTTGCCTAGCTTCTGGTAATACTCAATGACGGGGTAACTTTGTTGTTTGAACGAGATAAATCGTTTTTGTATGGTTTCAATGTTGTCATCTGCGCGACCACTGGTCTTTCCGCGTTCAAGTAGTCGTTCAAGCATCACTTCTTCGGAACAGTCAAAGAAAAGTACTGAATGAGCTTCGATGACCTGATTTTTTTTTACATCAAAACGTATAGTGAGTTGTAAAGCAAAAAAACTATGATACGCCCCTAATGATAATGACTTACATCCTCCTCAAATTTAATAGCTTGATCCATTTTTCTCGGGAACCCATCAATCAAGAAACGTTTGCCACCACTTTCTCGCATTGACTGTTCAAGCAAGGCAATGGTAAGTTCACTGGGAACAATTTCGCCATCTCTGATCGTTTTAGCAATCAACTCACTATATAATGAGTCCGGTCTTTGTTGTTCAGCACGGAGGAGATCTCCCGCTACATGGATATATACAAACAGAAAAATTAATATATTTGACTGCTTATTTTGGATAAAGGATTGAATAAAAGTAGATACCGGAGAGATGAATAAATCCAAAGTCCTTTACGAGTTTTTCGCTCTGAGTGCCTTTACCTGAACCAGGACCACCTGGATTGATTAATTAATTAGCATATATTTATTATTAAATTAATTCAAACCTAGAGAGATATTAGTATGCATAACTTACCCAAGACGAAAACCACCATCACATCATTTTTCGAAAGCTTTTTCGGTTTTGTCGAATCTTCATTTTTAAGCTCTTTGTTATCCATTTTGTTTGAACCGATTATCTAGCAAGCTATAACAAAAAAATCCTGAGACTTTTATAATTAGAATCTATACTCCACAATTACACGATAACGATAAACGGTCGGTCAATAAGAGCTAAAATTCCTGAAGAAATCCAGTTTATCAAGTCTGAAATGTGTGCAGGTTGGTGGCGCAGTCATAATTACCCAAAGGCTGATTGTAGAGTTGGGTTAGGGTTAGGGGTAAGAGAAGAGCAAAATTGTATGTAAAATTGCCTCCCTGACATTTTTTATTAGTACTCCAAGTTAGATTTGAACATTCATTTGCCGTATTTTTCGCTTTTCATTTTCTTCTGTGTCGGATTGTTTTACCGAACCGATCATATTTAAGAAATTAAATATGCGGTGATACATCAAAGAGATAGCAAAAAAAGTGTCAGGTCATGTGATCTGAAATAGGCCCATTAAAATATCCGATTAATATTGAAATTAGGATTGTATACAAAATTGTCTTCGCATTTTGCCGGGTTGATCAAAAATTCACTACATTCCTATTGGTTGCGCGCATTCTTATTGGTTGGATTGGTTCAAAATCATAGATAGTACCCTAAGGGTCGGATCATGTGATATTTGTGCATTTCCGGAAAAATTTTACGATAATATAGATTATTGTTAAAGGTTAATTTAAAGATTAGGATTAGGGTTAGGATTAGAGCTGGAGTTAAGATTATATGCAAAATTGTCTTTCCAACTCTTTTTTTTAGTGTAACAAGCTGGATTTAGGCATCTATTTCCCATATTTTTTACTTTTTTTGCTTCTTTCATTTTCTTGCGTTGCCGGGCTGATGATCACAGAAAATTAACGTTAAAGGATATTTTATCGTTCGGGTTAGGGTATGGGTTAAAGTGGACAAAATTATATGTAAAATTGTCTTTCCAACATTTTTTATTAATCTGTTTTCCGTATTTTTTACGTTCTTATTGGATTACGCCACATAACGCTCACATGATCGAGGAATTTTTCTGCCACTACTTTTTTTATATAGTAATATTTTTGATTGGCATTATAAATTAATCATTAATTTTCAAAAAATTAAATTGTGCTTAATTTTGGCTAGTATTATCTCGATATATTTAAATTCACTTGTTCGATATATGGTGCGCCCCACTTAATCGCATTAAATACTTGGATATAATCTATAACATTATGTATTTTTATCCATTTTATTATAAAAATTATTTGTAGTTAGATTTTTTTAACATCAATTTTAATAATAAAAATGAGATTTTCAGTAGTTGCAATATCACGTGTATTATTTTTGATTGGTTGGCTTTCATCATGTAAAATCACATGATCATTTTTCATGAAAATTCTAGCATGGCATATATTAACTTATTTGGAAATGATAATCCTTAAGAAAATTCAGCAGTGGCGCACTATTTGAGGCGACTAAGCGAGGCACCATAGTATATTTACTAACTAAATCGATATAGTGGATTTTTGAAGATTTTGATACACTATAAAGAGTGACTGTAAATCGTGTGCACCATAGCACATATGGCAATCTATGAAATGCTCCATTTATTTAGGAATAAAAATAAATAAATAGTTCTATTCTATATTTATAAAAAAATATTTGATCGCTCTATAAAATAAATTTGTTTTGTTCTCTCCGCATCCCAAACTCTAAATCCATGTAAAAATAATCAACGCCACCATTTGTTAATAAATACGTATACACCAGCCAATTACTTATTCTCATTAAACTCCGCATTAAAAGTTTTCTTGACTTCTTGATAAACCGTGTCCGGCGAATCCTCACAAGAGATCGAATGCACTTTGCTTTGCTTCTGGTAATACTCAACGACGGGGTAACTTTGTTGTTTGAACGTGATAAATCGTTTTCGTATAGAGTCGAGGTTGTCATCTGCGCGACCACTGGTCTTTCCGCGTTCAAGTAGTCGTTCAAGCATCACTTTTTCGGGACAGTCAAAGAAGAGTACTGAATGAGCTTCGACGACCTGATTTATTACACCAGAATGTATAGTGAGTTGTAAATCAAAAAAAAACTATGATACGCCCCTAATGATAATGACTTACATCCTCCTCAAATTTAATAGCTTGATCCATTTTTCTCGGGAACCCATCAATCAAGAAACGTTTGCCACCACTTTCTCGCATTGCTTGTTCAAGCAAGACAATGGTAATTTCCATGGGAACAATTTCGCCAGCTTTGATCGCTTTATCAATCAATTCACCATATAATGAGTCCGGTCTTTGTTGTTCAGCACGGAGGAGATCTCCCGCTACATAACAGAAAAATTAATATATTTGATCGTTAAAGGATGGAATAAAAGTAGAAACATATGCTTACCGGAAAGATGAATAAATCCAAAGTCCTTTACAAGATTTTCGCTTTGAGTGCCTTTACCTGAACCAGGACCGCCTGGATTGATTAATTATTTAATTAGCATATATTTATTAAATAACGTTAATTCAAAATTGAACAAATATAAGTATGCATAAATTACCTAAGACGAAAACCACCGTCACGTCGTTTTTCGAAAGCTTTTTCGGTTTTGTCGAAACTTCATTTTTAAGCTCTTTTTCTTTCTTATTCCTTTCTTTCTCGTCTATAATACACAACGATCCCGTTCAAAGAAGAAAAAAATTTATGGAAATCTTCCTCAAAAAAAAAAAACAAGCAAAACAAAAACAAAAAAGAGACTAATGGCAGTCAAGAGGCGCGTGGATTAGTGTGTTATGTGCTCCTGCAACAGCAAAAAGCACATACATACACAAGAAAACAGAAATATATGTATGCGTAGCGTACTTCTTTATTCTTTTCACACATCCATACCTCGAGTCCTGACCAGAACGAGGTAAAAAGAAAATCCGACCGAAGCCACGGCCAAAAGTGCAAGGGGATGCGGACCTTTTCGTGATTTTGGTGGTGAAGGCGGGGGAGGAGTTGCTCCCTCTGCCGCTGCACGGCGTTTTAGAGGCGTGGAGAAAAAGGTGCGTTTTGTAGCGTTGATAGCATTCGTACTATTGATAATGTTACAGGTAGTAATGGTGGAGCGCGAGGCCATGGGGATTCGTGTGTCGGATAGTGTACATTTTTTTCGTATTAGAATCTTTGTTGTGGTTGCAAGGTGGGTTTTAGCGAGTGGTTTTATCCGCGTTGCGCATGTACGAAGCATGGTTTCTTTAATTTTAGTAAACTATCAGCGAAATAATACATGTACATGTAATTAAATGCACACATGCTCATCAATAATTTCAGGGTTGCACAAATAAAGGCACTGATATTTATTACCTAATATCATCCCCCCACCCTCAGGTAAGATATATAACCAATCAAAAATGCTTAATTATGAAGACCCAACTCTACCCCCAACCCCCTGAAATATTACCTAATATATGTCACTGCCCTAATCATATTTCTGATTTTCATAGTTCTGAGCGGAAAAATTGGACGGGTACTAATTAAGAAACTGAAAATTCCCTCTTAATTGAATTAGTCTCCCGGTTTTTCATAAACAAGTAAACGTGCAGAAGAGAAACTTGACATGGACTAATTAATCGATTTTTCCGGCAAGAATGGTTGATAAATAATTTGTTTTACCGGATACCATCACATGTGTACCCATTTAGAACAAATTTTAAATAATAAATAATTATTGATTTTTCTGACAACGTGTTAATGATGAATTTCACTTTGGAATATTTGATTCACGATTTTTGATTTTTCTTCATAGCAACTTTAAGAATAGACTGAAGCTTCTAATGTGTTTAGAATTTATGTGAATACATAGGGTCCAACAGATTCGATGATTACCATCAATAAAGTGAAACAAGTACCTGCAAGCCAGCCAACTTTTCAACACTCACATTAGCCTCCTCAATCAACGCTTTCAAATCTTCATCAACTCCCTCTCCTCCTACTCTTCCGCCGCCATCTTCTACCACGGCGCCGACCGGGACATCATTTTCAGAAGAAGAAGAAGAATGAGGATGATGGTGATGATGGGTTTTAACCCTCTTCCGACTATGTCCTCCTCCTCCTACCTCATCATCATCTTCGTAACCTGATCGTTGACTATCCTTTCTTTTTTTCAGTGAACGTTCCACCATCATATTAGTCATTCGTTTGATGAATGCCATTCGTTCGTCCCCATATTTCTCATCATTTTTTGCGAGAATTTCGAGTTTGCCGTCGTCTACTTGCTCGTGTAGCTTAGTAACGAGGTTTTTTACGGCGATTAGTTGGTCCACCAGGAGTTTTACCGTGTCAGGTAGTGGGTATACTGTTTTATGCCATTTGAAAATTATATTGATTAATTGTAATTGAATCATGACTTGAGTAGTTGAAAGAAAAAAAATGATTTATTACGGTTTTGTTCGACTGCCATCTCCTTTATACATGACAATTGCTGGGCGATCTTTGCTTGACGTGCCAGTTTTGCATTGGTTTTTCGGATATCTTGTCGCAATTTATAATTGATAACTTTAGACTATTTTACGTCAAAGATTGAACATTAGGTATTATTGAATCTAGATCTCGTGTAAATATGTGCTGGAAAAAAAATTACCGCCAACAGCTGCTTTCTCGTCACCTCCAACTCTTCGTCCAATTTCTCGTCATAAGCCGGGTCAATATTATAGTCCAGTCCCTAATGGTTAATATAAAAATGCATGTCTTGGTTTAACTTGTAAAAAACAACTTCAAACGCGAATGCAGACGAACCTCTTGATGTGGTAACACAATAGACGACGACACGTCAGGCGGCAAAGCAAAGATGTTATTCAATGCATATAACTCGAATATATCAAAGTTTTTGTCGACTATATGTTCAAGTAACGTTATCACTTGATGCATCCCCTAAAATATTTATCATGGACCCCCCCCCCCCCCACGATGCTCATTAATTACTATTAATCAAGTTTCACTATACTCGTTAACGATTAACAAATTCCATGGGTGATGTCAAAATTAAAAGGCAAGGCGTGTTCTTTCCCAAGAAAAAAAATGCCACAATAAAATAACACGTTACATTTTCACATTCTTCAGAATCGCCAAGTCTATCTTCCACATATTTTTCAAAAATGTCAGCCGCCTGGTAAATTAGATCGTTTACCGTGTTTATTATGTCGTCTATAAACGCAATTGGCACGAACCCGAAGTGCGTGGTTAGAAGCTCGGTGTTTGGCAGTGAGTATTTGGACATTTGGGGAAAAATGTGATGGTTAAGCTAATTTATGTTTAAATAATTTCTGATCATTCTACGCGTTTATAATATTAGATTCTCTCAGCCAATCAGGCAGGCTCAATAAAGTTTATCCCAATTCACGTTTAAAAAAATTTCTAATTCTCTTTCCATGCACTTTCCACCTCACCACCACCATACACTTCCTTCTTCCAAATCGGCGCTTTCTCTTTCACTTGATCAATCAACCACTCGACAGCTTTCAACGATTCATGCCGATGCACACTGGACACAGCAATCACGACACTGGTCTCACCGACCGGGACAGTTTCCAGTCGATGATAGATGGCCACTTTTGTGAGAGACCATTGAGCGCGTGCGGAAGTGATTAAATTGTTTAGAATCTCTGTTGCCATTGGGATGTATGCTTCGTAGTCTAGTCGAAGGACCTGTTTGTCTAGATAATCGATAGTAATTTATATTTTTAGTTCTACTAACGAATACAATGATACGTTTTATATATACCGTTAAATGTATTCCGTGTTGTTCCTGAAAAAGTTGATATTGCACCTGCACCATCATCTTTTACCAAGTCAATGATTTCTTGGATATTCAATAGGTCGTTTGTCAATTTCACGAAATTTATTTCTGCCATGTGTCGTTGTTTGATATTGGTAATGCTGCCTAATTAGGGGAGCGGTTAAAGCGTTGCGAGTCATGTGATCTGACACGGGATAATGTGGCTGACCCCACTTCGGAA